CAGACTTAGTAAGCTTTCTAATCTCATTGTGCCTGTGTACTAATATGGAGAAATGCACAGTATTTTATTGAAAACTATTTCTTATATACTTTATTTATATTAGAGTTAAGGTATTGTATTGATTTTTTTAAAGTGTGTGTTTTAGTTGGGTTATATTATCTACGACCTTTGTTTCAGAAAGTGTGATAAAACATTTGCTTAAAGTGGTATTGCACCTCTGGGGTTGGCTGTTGGCTGCTTTGTCATCATCATGATTACCTTATTCCTATCACACTAAAGAGGAAACTGAGGAACTGACAGGGTAACTTGCTGAAAGTCAGTGATATGGGGTAAACTGCAGAGCCTGGATGCAAATCTGCCAGTTTGGTTCTAGAGGCCATGGCGTGGCTGTTACACCACATTGCTTTCAAAAGTTGCAATATAGCAAATTAGAAAGAATGCTGCATTAAAAAACCTAATAAGAAAATACAATTATGCTATATTGCTTTTTTCATGAAAGATCCTTAAGTTTCCACTTATGTTAAATTGATCATCCTATATCAGATATGAATAATCAATTGAAGTTCATATTCCAAAAGGATTAATTTAATTATTTGTAGTAAATAGTCATATAAAAATTTCAATTGCAATCTCTTTTTAAATGAAGATAAGGAAATAAAGAACACAATAACTATTATTAGATATATTATGACAATTTTGGAAAGAGACTGAAGAAGGGACAGGAAGAAGAGGAGACAGAGGGAGACAGAGGAGACACAGAGAGAAAGAGATAATTTAAGGTAAAAAGATACAAGAAAGCAGAGGAAAAATGTGAAAGAAGAGAGCAATGATTAATGATTTATGATAGGAAAATCTGACCATTTCGTGCCCACCAGGTATGGGCAAATTTCCAAAGTTTGACATTATTTTCTTTTCTCATTCAAAAATTTATTTAAAATGGCAGTCTGTTTTGGACCAGCTCATTTATAAACCTTTCCTATTTTCCAGGAGCCTGCATCCTGGAAAACTGAAACAATCATGATATTCTTCCTTTCCAGACAGAAGCACTTTCTTTTTTTAATATGTGATTATATATTTTCTATCTATGGCATCCTCTATTTGATGACATAATACAATATGAGCTTTATCACAACTTCTGTTTTAGTAGTGTACACAAAATATTTTAATCTGTGGAAGTGATTAGAACATTACATGAACATTTAATAGAATGATCCAAGATCTGTGTATCAGGCTATTTATGGCTGGAAATTTTTGATGGGGCATTGCTACCTGTGGATATCAATTAATCAGTTAATTAAATTAACTGATCAATCAAATAATTAGATTAATTGATTCAATTCTTATAAGCAGATTCCAGTGAAGCAGCAATAATAAAAGGCAAAGAATAAAAAATTAAAGTTTCTGTTCAATGGAAATATTTATTAATATTGTTATTAATTTTTTCCTTTTAAATGTCCTCCTTTTGTTATTATTTTTAAAAATTTGCTAACTTCTTAATATTCATGTAATACCATGCCTGCCTATTTTTTCTATATATTTTTAGTTGTCCAGCTAATTTCTTTCTATTTTTTTTTAGTAGAGACAGGGTCTCACTCTTGCTCAGGCTGGTCTCGAACTCCTGAGCTCAAAAGATCCACCTACCTCCGCCTCCCTGAGTGCTAGGATTACAGGTGTGAGCCACCGCACCTGGCTTCCAATGTTTTTATAATGATGATATTATTTGGTCATTATTTTCTTTTCAACAATACTCCCTTTTTAAACTAAACAAGGTTAACATTAGTCCCAGACTGAAAATAGTTATATGTCCCACCAAACAAGTGATGAAGAAATAACATATTGTCTACTTTCTTTGACATGTCAAACCAATGTTTCTCATATTTCTGATGGTGAAATTCAGATAAAAGTTTACACTAAAGAAACTGATCCCTGGAGAATAATATCTGTCTATATGTGGTCTCTGAGATCTGAGGTTTGCATAATGAAATGCTCTTGATGCATATATGATGACTTATTTCCTTGTAGGGAATATAATTTTTTCGGTACTTAATCACTGAGTATCCTTCTACTATGGTCATAGTTTTCAGCTGAAAATAGCTGCAATAAGTTTTCAATTAAAATTCATACAAATAGAGAGGAAAGATATGGCATATAAAATAAGAAGCTATAGGTAAAAATGTAATAGAGTAATGAGTTATCATAAATCTAGATCGCATGATGTCCACTTGTGTTAATGAATCTTATTTGACAACAGTCAATAATATATTTTTTTCTGGCTAAAAGCTACATTGCAACTGGGATTATTGGTTAAATATTCTCCTACCAATTGATCTTGGCCTAGAGGAAATCCATACTCTGTTTATACTAGCAGGCTTTAAATTTGTTCTTATATGGAAAAATGTATTCAGTGTTCATGAAATCATAATTTCAGATTCATTTCAATACAGACACCCTACTTCCACTCTGCCTCATAATTATAATTGAATTAGAAATGGAACAAATAATACTTAAAATTCTTTAGAAAAGAATGCCACTCTCTTAGTTCATTCTACTTTCAATCTAACCTAAACTTTTAGTTTTGTATATTTCAATTTGTTTTCTATGTAACCATTAACATAAATATGTAGTTATACATCAGTATCCACACATACTTGCACATGTTTATAGTCTTCTCATTTTCACTTAATATAGCATGAACATGTGCAGTTTGATAAATATTCCATTAGACCATGCTATTTTAATTGTTTCAAGATTTTCAACTAAAAATGTATGGGTCACTTCAAAATTTTAGTTCTCCAATATCTTATTCCTGATTAAATACATTATTCCCACTATCTTACTTTTCATAAATAATATTGCAATTAGTATTTTGGGCATACATTTTTGAACTACGCTCAGCTTACTTTAGGAATGATTTGATGAGTATGCTGGCTATTGTCTGTGTTCTGTGTCTTCTAAGTTCCATTTGCTGTTATGCCTGGTGCCCAGGGAGGGTCACTCTCATGAGCTTCATCGCTTGGGACTCTTGCCTTTCCACTTTTATTCCCAATGAGAGGCACTGGCCCCAGCAAGTTAGCTGGTGGGAGAAGAGAGAACTTGAGAGCTTATTCTATTCTTCTCCCACTTCTTAGTGACAGCCTCGGGGTAGATGGTGGCTGAGTTCTGAGGCATAATTTACCCTCCTCTTCCTTTACACTTGGGTTTCACTAGTCCCTTGACTTAACTTTTTTGTCTTAGATGTACTAATGGCTCCCCATGTTGCTAGTCTCTAAAGGCTTCACCATGCTTTGGTACTCTTACCCCTGGCCACACCTCTGTTAACAGCACCTTAATTAATCTTTTCCACATTTACATCTTTTGAGTGAGTCACCTATTTTCTGCCTGAACCTGATAAAGGGATTATGTATAGTAATTTATTAGGCATTTGGAATATGTTGTCACCTTTTCTTCATAATTTAAAAGTACCATTAGCTATATATAAGAATTCTAACTTTCTTTTTTTAATGGATATATTTTATATTTTTATTTATTTATTTATTTTTGAGGCAGAGTTTCACTCCATTGCTCTGAGTAGAGTGCCATGGCATCAGCCTAGCTCACAGCAATCTCAAACTCCTGGGCTCAAGTGATCCTCTTGCCTCAGCCTTCTTAGTAGCTGGGACTTCAGGCACACCACCATGCCCAGCTAAATTTTTCTACTTTTAGTATAGATGGCGTCTTTCTCTTGCCCAGGCTGGTCTCAAATTCCTGAGCTCAAGTCATCCTCCCACCTTGGCCTCCCAGAGTGCTAGGATTACAGGTGTGAGCCACTGCACCTGGCCAACCTATAACTTTCTAAGACTAGATTTGCTGTTCCTAATTATTGTCAAGATGATAGGAAAAATAGAATGTAATACAATATTTCTTGATTGCTACTGAGGATAAATATTAAGAGAGTGTGTGCGTGCATGTGTGTGCAGATCAAATAACTATATAGCAAATTGTATTAAAAACACTAGTTATGAATTAGTGTTCATATTTTAGCTCAAGAACAGACTAGCTATGTGAATTGATGCAAGACCCCCTCTTTAAAAAAAAAATCTTTAAGCCTTACTGTTTTTTTTTTTATCATCTGTGAGCTGGAGATAATAATAATGTTCGAATAAAGTGATGGGATTAGATCTCTATGGTCCCTTCAACTTTAAGCCTGTGATCTTTACATCTCCAGCAGTAACAACAGGAGAGAAGGAAACCCTGCACGGTCTGATAACGCATGGCGAATAAAGCAAAATCCACTTCACGTGGTGAGTCACTGAGTCGTTTGTATGGCAACATTTTTTTTTCCTTTTTATTTTCCTCCAGAGACTGCTAAATGTTATGATGTATATTATCTCTCTTATTATTCATCAGAGAATTATTTTTACAATGCCAAATGAACTAGACTTAACCTTTTGCTGTGCTAAGAGTCAAATTCTGTCAACCAAAACCAGCCGTGCTAATAAGAGAAATGGAATTCCATACCTTTCATCAATTCACATTTATTTATTGCTTTTCTGAACTCCTTTGTTAGGAAATCTCCTTTTGATATCCTTAAGTTATTAAGAAAGGGCTGGAAACACTATCTGAAATGAAATACTTCACTTCATCTAATACTATAGATCACATTATTTTTCTTAGCAGAGGGAGCTTCATAAGAGTGTTAAAAGGCTGGGGTCTTGTGGCATATAGAGGAAATGGAATATTTCTGGGAAGATGAGGAGCATGAACCTCAGAAGTAGCTCATTTGTACTGGAGGTAATGGTGTGAGAGAGAGGTAATGCCAGGGCCTTTGAGGGGCTCAATGAAGTGTAAAAGGTAGATAGAGAGCTTACATATTTTCTGCAAATGTGTAAAATTTGCAATATGAGGACTAAACCTGGGAAGAGCATATAGTATATAATGTGCTTGCTTTGCATATGGGCATGGTGTTATTGACTCACCTTCAATAGGTCTTGTGCATTGCATTGTTGGGGTGATGGATTTACCTTGCTCAGTGTGCCAGTCCTCCATGAGCAGGAACATGGGTTTGTAAGACATCTGTGTAGGGTTAGGAGGGCAGCTGAAAGCTGTTGAACAGAAGGGAAGTAACAGGCTTGTGCACAAATTAGCCTTGTAAGTGTAGTGCCATCAGTGCTCTGTGGAAATGCTGAGCCACTGGAGCTGAAGAAGAAAGAGAAAAGTCTTTAGGGAGGTAGGTGATTTGAGAGATTAATGAATACATGAGAGAATGGGAGATTCACTGACAACGTTTCTATGCATTATCAGCAAGGAAAATAATCTATAGAAACCTCATAACATATTCCTAAAGGACATGTAGATATAGGATGTTTAAACATGTATCTAGGTGTCTACATTTAGTAAACTAGATTTTAAAATGTTTTTCTAACACTTAACAGAGAATCTGTCATTGAAACAAACTATCATTGAAACAACAACGAAAGCCAAAAAACAAAAACAAAAGAAAAAGAAAAAATGCAAGGGCCCTCCGGACAAAGCCCCAGATGAGCAAGAGAGAGGGCAGACGGTAGGCCCCGTGCTCCATGGCAGCCGGCCAGCATGGCCAGAAGTGGCCAGAGATCCATGACCCTTTGGCTCTCGTGGGAGAGTGTAAAGTTATGTCGGCTCATCCATTCAAGTAATTAGCAAAAGATATTATTTCCCTGCTCCATCTGCTTGCATTTTTCCTAATAATTGGAATACTGGATAATGTTCCCAAGTCCTTTCAGCTCTCTGTCACCACCACTGAGCACATCTCTGGGGAAAGGCCAAGAACTGAGAATGCTCAAGAACCTTCGTGTTCCTGTGCGAGGGGCATCCATGAAAATATGAGACCACTGTCACAATGCAGGGGCAATTCAGGGCTCAGAAGTCATGAAGTTGTTGAATCCAAGGTGGCTGAGACCATTTTACTTGGAAATCCACAGCCCACAGCCTTCAGCATAGACAGCTGCCTTGCAAATGCAGGACTTCGTCACCATGTTGCTTACGAAAACATGTAAAATCATATACTCAAACAGAAATTAGCTTTAAGAAATTGCCTTATAATGGCAGGCTGGGAGTGTAATGTATTTTTAAAAATCCTATAGCAGCACTCTTATGGATATTAGATTACAGATCTCTTCAGACGGGGACCATGCCTCTCTGCCTTCCTCTGCATGGCTCTAGTGCTGTACGATGCACAGTGGTGTACTCAGCTAAGTCCGGTTGACCAGCCGACTGAAAGTGCTCCAAACCAGCAATGAACAGAATAAATAGAAATAGAGAGAATGTACGTTTCCATTTTTTAAATGAATGTTGTTAAATTACCTTTTCAACTCCAAGGTCCTTCTCACTTTTTTTTTTTTTACTTGCGCTGTAAGCTAAATCTCAATAGAAGTGTTTAAAGCCCACCTTAACATTCATTCATTCAGTGTATTTTATTATCTACCATGTGCCAGTATAGGAGGTGCCTGATTGACTTCATTTCTGCTAGTCAAACACTGTATTTTTGAGGGGTCAAGTTGCTATATTTTCAATATAGATACATTCAAAAGTAGTACTATATGCTACTACTTTCTATGACATTTTATTATTAATAAATTATAAGAGGAAGTGGCTATTAAAAACTCAATTCACTTTCCTAAAGGTACCTTTTCACTAAAAATTCATTCTACTCAGATACTTTTTTTTTTCTTCAAAGGCCTAATAAGTGATAAAACTGAGACTAGAACTTAGGTTTTCACGTATGTTGTTAAATGTTTTTTCTACTATTCTTTCTACTCCCTGCCACATAAAAATGAAGGTATGATTTATTTTTTAAAAAGAACAATTTCACTTTATAGCAAAGATTCTATTTAATATTGCTTTCATACTGCAATTAAGATGTGAAAGGATTTAAAATAGAAACATCTCTGTGTTGTGAAGCAAAGTTTCACTGTCTATATAGCAGAAAAATAAAATCAAACATGATAAATACATTTTAATGCTCAATTTAAATACTATATGTAATGCTTAAATAAATTTAACCTGGTAATAGAAAAAATATCATTTGCAGATTTGTGTTTTATTTCAGTTTCAGCTCCTTTAAAAAGTAAAATGACAAAGAATGCCAATTTCAATAAAGACTAAAAGTAACAGAATGGACAAAGTTAAATTCTTATATATTTTATAAAATATAGGCCGGGCGTGGTGGCTCACGCTTGTAATCCTAGCACTTTGGGAGGCCGAGGCGGGCGGATTGCTCAAGGTCAGGAGTTCGAAACCAGCCTGAGCGAGACCCCGTCTCTACTAAAAATAGAAATAAATTAATTGACCAACTAAAAATATATATACAAAAAATTAGCCGGGCATGGTGGCGCATGCCTGTAGTCCCAGCTACTCGGGAGGCTGAGGCAGGAGGATTGCTTGAGCCAGGAGTTTGAGGTTGCTGTGAGCTAGGCTGACGCCACGACACTCACTCTAGCCTGGGCAACAAAGTGAGACTCTGTCTCAAAAAAAAAAAAAAAAAAAAAAAAATATAATATATAATATATTATATATATATTATATAATAATCTGTCTGCTCATCAGTTATCTAGATTTTTTGCCTGAATATTTCTTTTTATAAAAAACTCTTGACAGTAAAGTTGACACATGATTGAGATACTGTATGTCATTTTAAAATAAATGTCTTTCTGTAGATTTGATGTCATGGTTTATGCGCCTTTAGGCAACGAAGCTGAATTATTCTCAAATTTCAATATTTTACCAAATAAAAAGTTTCCAACACTTTATTTTGAAGATGAGTATAATTAGATTTTAACAAATTTAAGAAACTGGCCAATTTCATGGAGCTAGGTCTGGACCTGTGGTGTATGGACCACCGATGTTATGTATGGTACTATCTATCCACTTGCTAGCTGGTAGATGTTTGGACAGCTGAAATAAAAACCCTTGAATCGTAGCACATGCCAAGTTCCATGGTGTAAATACTCCCCCCAAGGCTGATTTCAAGGAACTATCATGGCATCAATAATTGAGGAGTTGCAAAGGAATGTGCAGTAGCTCTATCTATATTATTTCCACTACCAATAAAATAAACATAAATCGATGCTCAAGAGCATAGATAACAGTAAAATATTAAAATTAAGAATTGGATTTTGAGTGTTATCTTGTTTTTTCTACAATGTTTTAATTATAAGTAAATTCATATAATTGGATATTAATAATGAGATATGTTTAGACACAGGTTCTGATTCCTGAATATTTAAACCCTTGCGTCGTTTGGCTCTCTGCAAGCTGGTACAAGCGTGATTTCCTGCACACTACTGGATCCATCAAAAATAGGATGAATCATTTGGTGGTGTGAAAATGTTTCCAACATGACTTTTCCAGTTGTGTTTTTATGTGGAGAGAGAGGGGAGGCCATGAAATAGTTTAATATCTCTATCAAATCTGGTATAATATCATAAATATAAGACTAAAATACTTAAATTTTATATCATTGCATAAAGTTTCTGAGAATACTCAATTTCTTATATTTTTAACCTATGCACTTAAATAGTAGATAGAATGATAGATAGATAGATAGAAAGATACGTCCATTTCATGCTCCTTGGTTTTGGTCTGGAGATTCCTAACCTGGTTTAGTCTATATAAAACATTTGCTAAGATTCAATACCAGATTTTTCAAGTGAAATTTTTCTGCCAATTAAGGTACAACACTTATACTACAGAATCGTTGCCATACTTCAGTGTAGCAAGAGAACCTGATTAATGATTTACTAATCTGCAACCATATTGTCATTAATGTCATTAACTATGTACTATGTCATTTCATTTTATGAACTACATTATTTTTCTATATTCTATTTTGTTGTGATTGTTTTGTGAAACAAAACAATGTGAAGCATTCATTATATTAGTTGGTGTTTGATTTATGTGGGTAAAAGTTTATACTAGGGTGAACTGAGAATTGTCCACAAGTAGCTAGTACTGATGTAGAAAAAAATTAGGAGTGATGACAAGGCTTTAGAAGAATGGATTCTGGCAACAGCAGAAAGCCATCAATGAATTTCAAGCCCCCAAATTCAGATATAGAGAAAAGAATTTATTCAGGGGTAGAGAGGTCGTGTTAACATATAGGTTGATATCCTTTGGTAACCACCCTGTCTACATAGTGTGGAAGAGTTGAGGGCCACTGAGAAATCTGCTGTGTGGCAGGTAGTGTGGCATAGGGGTTGTGGTTATAAGGCAGAGTATAGGGGCTTCCCCGTACAGATAGGTTTATAAGTAGACAAAAACCAGCAGTGTTAAAAACTCTGGTAGACATATATAAACCTTTAATTACATTTTAATCTCCACTCTTAGTTTCACTTATTTGGATCTGGGATGATGATTATTATCTGGGG